GTGGCGGCGAGCCCGGTCTCGCTGTGGAGGTTCCCTTTGGCTGAGCCCAGCCTTAGCTGGGAGTTTGCATCCCGTGTGCGGGCTCCTAACGATCGTCAGGCTCTGAGAGTTTATCAAACAGCTTCTCTGGCCATAGGGATTTATGCTAATCAGCATTGCTGGGGTGTTTCAGGGTTGATGAGACCTCTAGAAGGGAAATAATCATTAGCGAGCCCCAGCCTCTCCCTGCTCTCCTCTTCCAAACATCTGCTGCTCGACCGCAGCTGCGTGCTGAGGGTTTCTCTGATCTCACAGGAGGCTTTGAAGCACCCTGAGTGCCTCTCCCCACCGTAAGCAGCCACCTCCCAACCTGGGAACGCGCTGGGGAACCTGTGAAGGGTCCACTGCAACCCCGTCCAGCCCACGAGCTGTGGTTATCACCGCCCCCAGCACGGAGGGGTTTCTGTCGCAGCCCCCGCTCGTGTTTTGGGGTAGAAAATTAAATTGTAGGAGCTTCAGCCTGAGGCTCGGTGTGGTATTTTCTTATCATTTGCCTCTTTGTTTTCTCCCCAGTGCTTTGCTGGTCTCCTCAAGTGAGGAGCTGCAGCCTTGTCTTCTTTTTCTTTGCTATTACATCATCCTGCTCCAAGTGCTAATTGAGTCCTGGAAAACAACCTTGTTTGAACATGTGTACGGTGGGAATCGGACCAGGCTGCCCTTGTGGTTTGCATTTTCATATTTCATCTTACCAGCATTTTCCTGTGGATTTCGTTAAGCTGGGTTTGGCATGAAATGAAAAGGCAGAGTTTCCCGGCTTGTGCAGCACCGACTTTAAGAACAGAAACCAGAACACACACAAAAAAAAAGGCACCACCCTAAAATCTGGCTTTAGGAACAAATAGATATTTCTATTCAGTGCATATATAAAGTGTGAAGGTTGTGTGGCACCCTGGTGAGTGTGCAGCCCACGGTTTTTGTGACCGTGGCAGACCCTGGGCACAAGCTACAGCCTCGCAGAGCCCCCCGGCCGCTTGCTTTGGTCCGATCTCCTTGGGGTTCGTCCAAGCTCGTGGGGTTTTTCTCCTTCCTGCATGAAGTTTTACAGCAGCTCTCCGTTAGCTGGGAAGGCAGGGGCACCGCTGGCACCCATGGACTTGCGGCAAGCTCTGTTGCATATCCGATCTTGGCCAAAGAGGGACATTTTCCAAGTGTTTTATCATGGTAGGATTTGCTGCTGCCAAGGTCGGAGCTGCCAGGTTAATGAGGTGCGCCCTTGCGTCCTGTTTAATGCCACAGAAATTACGTGGCAAAGTTTTCATCTCGAGGTAAACAGAAATTGTTTTCGCGTTGCCAGAGCGAACGGCGAAATGCTCCTTGTCAGCTGGCGCAGGGGAGTCACCCAGCCCTCGTCCTGCGCCGTGTTAACCCATCTTGTTTGCTCTGGATCTGTTCCTGTGACCTCTCTGCCTCCTGTGCCGGAGGCCGAGCATCTCAATGGCCCAGAGCTCTGGGAAGGAGCTGCTCCCCGTGCCGGCCTCGCTGCTGGCAGCTCGCGCCGTGGCTGGAGAACGTCGCCGAGTGCTCGCTTGATAGCGTCCCACGAGCTTCAGATTCAAGCGTGAGGAAGATGTGTCTCTGCCCCCGGGGTCGTGTTTCTGTCCTGGTTGTTGGCTGCGCTTAGGCTCTGCCCTGGGAGCCCTAGCTCTGCCCCTGATATTGCTGATAAGCCTGGAAAAGCGAGTGTGGGGGGGAAAAAAACCCTTGCAGACAGCGAACTCCTCCACCTGAACTGGAAAGACAGGCCCTGGCTGTGTTGTCAGCTTGTCTTTCCTCGAGAAAAGTGGTGGCCTGGGAGGTTAAATCCGTTCTCCCCCACCCTGCTTTTTTAGTGGTATCTCTTAAAAATATGTTAGCGTGGCATTTATTGGGAGGGAAAACAGGTTTATTGGGGACTGGAGAAAGTAAGGTGGGTGTTGCCTGTGTTGGTAACTCAGTAAATGTGTTTTCTAGAGATAGACCAAAACAAAACAGGTTTATTGGGGACTGGAGAAAGTAAGGTGGGTCTTGTGGTGATAACTCGGTAAACGTGTTTTCTTTCTAGAGATCAAAACCACAGTGGTGTACCCCGCCACGGAGAAGCACCTCCAGAAATACCTCCGCCAAGAAGTGCACCTTGTCCGTGAAACCTGGGAGGATTATGAGAACATAACGCTGCCCTTCATCCAGTCCCAGAGCTTCAGCGTCCAGGTACGGATACTGCTGCTTCCCTGGATTGCCCGGGGCACCGTGGCCCTCTGCGGAGGTGGACGCCTTGCGATCGTGTCTTCCTTTAACGCGCTGGGCTGTGAGATGCCTCCTCCAACTCCTGGGTCGCTGAATGCATCCCTTTATCTGTTGGACTTGCTTGGGGCTGTCTGACCTTTGGGGTAAGCTCAATGATGCAAAACAGGGCTCTCTTCTCTCTTTTTCCATCACCTTCCTTCTGTCCTCTGGGGCATCCTCCTCCATCTTGGCAGAAAATCCTTTGCCTCGGAGATGTACCCGAAGCCGCCTTCCTCAAGGCTTCTGGAGACTTTCTGTGCTGGGGCATTCCTTTCCGAGGGTGGCTCCCTGGGTGTTGGCACAGCTCGCTGGCCTTCTTAGGGGTCTCTCGGGTGTTGTGAAAATGGAAAGATACGGATTGCTCTCGGATTCCTCCATTGCAACTCGGTTCTTGGGCTTTGCCTCTGGCTCCTCTGCCATTCAGCCCTTCAGGTTGGTATTACAGAATCACAGAATGGTCGGGGTTTGAAGGGACCTCTGTGGGTCACCCAGTCCAACCCCCTGCCCAAGCAGGGTCACCCAGAGCAGGTTGCACAGGATCTTGAATATCTCCAGAGAAGGAGACTCCACAGCCTCCCTGGGCAGCCTGGGCCAGGGCTC